TGACAGAGACTGAGACAGAGACAGACAGAGACTGAGACAGACAGAGACAGAGACTGAGACAGACAGAGACTGAGACAGACACAGACAGAGACAGACTGAGACAGACAGAGACAGAGACTGAGACAGAGACAGAGACTGAGACTGAGACTGAGACTGAGACTGAGACTGAGGCTAAACAACCATATTAAAAAAATGAATGCATGAGGTAAATTCTTCTATAGGTTTTAAAATTTGATGATCTCTATTTACAGGAAGCTATGTCTATTAACAAGTCTCTATCAGCTCTAGGTGATGTTATCTCAGCATTGAGTAGTGAACAATCGTTTATACCCTACCGTAATAATAAACTCACTATGTTGATGCAGGATTCACTCGGAGGAAACGCTAAAACTCTTATGTTTGTCAATATTTCACCAGCTGATTATAATCAAGATGAATCTGTTATATCTTTAACGTAAGTTGGAGAATTATACTCTGTTTTCATTTGATATGTAACAGCCATTGGTCAAAAATGTATTTATCTTTTTGGTCAATCTCTAAAATTGGATTTTTAATTTAAAACTAGCCATATTGCCAAGTAAGGTAGAAATATTTCCTCTTGGCAAGCTTAAAATGGTGTTTTTTTTTAACAGCCAAAAATTGTGCTGCAACATTCAATAACTTAGTGTATTATTTTATTGTTTGTTTATTTACAGCTACGCTTCTAGAGTAAAACTTATAACTAACGATGCCTCCAAGAATTCTGATAATAAAGAAATCGCTCGACTCAAATCTGTAAGTATGTTTATATTATTTGTGATCTTATGAAAAATATTTCTGACAGAATCTTTTAGTTTTATAACTTTACAGTGACAAGATCATATCCTATTGACTATAACTTCTACTGCTCATCTCTGAAGGGGTCTGAAGAGAAAATCTTGTAACCATGGTGATAATAGCTGACTGTTGCAATGTTTTATAATTCCAGATTATTCAGAAATTAAAACAAGGCGAAGATGTTGAGGAAGAAGATTAGAGGAAGAAGATTATAGAAAATGTTTTAAACTTGCAGAACATTCAAATTTTTGATAGATAAAGGATACAAAATCAAAATAGTTTAATAGTTTAATAGTTTAATAGTTTTACGTCTATTGAAACATTCAAGTTTCTCTACCATGTTGGTACAAATTATTAATTCTGCAGAAAATTACATGGAATTGAATATTGAATTTTTAAGTATTCATGAACTTATTATTCTTAAGATTTTAAAACAGCAATATTTATCTGATTTTAAACAAGAAATAAAGAAATTTCGAGTTGAGAATGAGATATATTATTTCTATAATTATGTGATTATTTTTTGGTGTTGGTAGAAGTGTGCACATTCCGTCCTTTATTGATATTATGTTTTAAAATGTTTATATTTACTTTTGAATCTGTCTATATAAAATATATTCTGGTCATAAATAAGACTCTACTATATTAAGTACTTTATGTGGTAATCAACACAATGTACCAGTAGGTCTGGTAAAATTATTATAAAACAAATTTATTTTACTCCAAAACAGACTAAAATTGTTTTTGTTTATATTCTGATGGATATAAATATCTTGAAGCGATTATTTTATTTAATATTGTTTTATCATTGTTATTATTATTATAAAACTGTGATATTTTATTTCTGCACGAAAGATTTTTATATCTATATATTTAATACACAAATAATACTTAATAGGTTATATATATTATACATGAGACAATAAATAATACTTAATAGGTTATATATATAATACATGAGACAGTAAATAATACTTAATAGGTTATATATATAATACATGAGACAGTAAATAATACTTAATAGGTTATATATATTATACATGAGACAGTAAATAATACTTAATAGGTTATATATATTATACATGAGACAGTAAATAATACTTAATAGGTTATATATATTATACATGAGACAGTAAATAATACTTAATAGGTTATATATATTATACATGAGACAGTAAATAATACTTAATAGGTTATATATATAATACATGAGACAGTAAATAATACTTAATAGGTTATATATATAATACATGAGACAGTAAATAATACTTAATAGATTATATATATTATACATGAGACAGTAAATAATACTTAATAGGTTATATATATTATACATGAGACAGTAAATAATACTTAATAGGTTATATATATTATACATGAGACAGTAAATAATACTTAATAGGTTATATATAGGTAGAATATATTTATAAATAAACTAGTTTACTTATTTCCTTGGCATTGAGAAAAATCAAAAATACTGCTACAATATCACAAACTGAAAACACCCACTTCTTTAAAAAAATATTAACCCCTTATTAACCCTGCTATTATTATATCACCTCTTTATATTTTAAGTAAGGTATTTTTGAGGTAGGGTGAACTAAGCCTAAGTTTCAAACTGCAATCATATCATGAATTTGTTCTAGTAATATTTCTAGTAAAGAATCGTTGTTATTGTTGATATATTGACAGGTTTTATTCTCCCTCAAACTTTGTGTCCAAGCAATTCTGAAAATTGAAAACTTCTCGATCTCTCTACCTATTTATTAACAACATGTTGCTAATGGTGGCGCTTGATTGAAGAGTTCTGACCAGGTTCAGTCTGTTTCAATTCTAACATCAATCAAACAGTGTGGAAGCAGAATTATGTCACATTCAAATTTTCTCATGTATTTTCATCTCTGCCATTTTGAATTCTGTCTGTACCTACTTATTTATTAGTTTACATGGAAAGCTGTCTGAATTCTGTCTGTACTTACTTATTTATTAGTTTACATGGAAAGCTGTCTGAATTCTGTCTGTACCTACTTATTTATTAGTTTACATGGAAAGCTGTCTGAATTCTCTCTGTACCTACTTATTTATTAGTTTACATGGAAAGCTGTCTGAATTCTGTTCTAACTTGTTTTATTCCATTAATCTCGAACGTTCAGAACTCAAACAATGAAGCAATCCCGATGTTAATATAAAATTATAAGATTATAGTCCGTCCTGATATATTCTGTGATAATTTGTTCTGCATTTTATTTTAACTGGAAATATTTTGTCTGCTGAAGTTAATCTAAACAGATATTTATTAGCAAGCAATATAGAAATAGGAAAATAGAACCTGAAACATTTTGTCGTTTCAAACTATACTATCTTCATGCAACTTATTTCTGGTTGTCTTTTGATGGCACTGCATGAAACTCGAAAGTTCAGATTCTGTTTTATGATGAGATAATGAGAAATCAAATATTTTCTATTGTAAAGTTTATAATTTTACTGTTTAAAATTGTTTTCTATTTTTCTAAGTGCAATTTTTATCTGGTATTTGGGCAGGTCCTGATTCTTGTTCATTTTATTTTATAATAAAATTATGATTTTATTCTTTATTCAGATTGAGCTGAGGGATTTTTTCTTTTTAAATCATCCATCAAAAATTTTTCATAATAATAATGAGCCAATAATTGGTACGTAAGTCCAATAATGAGCCAATAATTGGTACGTAAGTCCAATAATGAACCAATATTTAGTACGTGAGTCCAATAATGAGCCAATGATTGGTACGTAAGTCCAATAATGAGCCAATAATTGGTACGTAAGTCCAATAATGAACCAATATTTAGTACGTGAGTCCAATAATGAGCCAATAATTGGTACGTGAGTCCAATAATGAGCCAATAATTGGTACGTGAGCCCATAATTAGCCAATAATTGTTACGTGAGTCCAATAATGAGCCAAAAATTGGTACGTGAGTCCAATAATAAGGCAATAATTGGTACGTGAGTCCAATAATGAGCCAAAAATTGGTACGTGAGTCCAATAATAAGGCAATAATTGGTACGTGAGTCCAATAAAGAGCTTTATTTGGTTCGTGAGTCCAATAATAGGCCGATATTTGGTATGTGAGTCAAATAATTAACCGATAATTGGTACGCGAGTCCAATAATGAGCCAATAATTGGTACGTGAGTCCAATAATGAGCCAATAATTGGTACGTGAGCCAATAATTGGTACGTGAGTCCAATAATGAGCCAATAATTGGTACGTAAGTCCAATAATGAACCAATATTTAGTACGTGAGTCCAATAATAAGGCAATAATTGGTACGTGAGTCTAATAATGAGTCAATATATGGTAATTGAGTCGAATAATTGGTACGCGAGTCCAATAATGAGCCAAAAATTGGTACGTGAGTCCAATAATAAGGCAATATTTGGTACATGAGTCCAATAATAGGCCTATATTTGGTATGTGAGTCAAATGATGAACCGATAATTGGTACGCGAGTCCAATAATGAACAGATAATTGGTACGTGAGTCCAATAATGAGCCGATATTTGGTACGTGAATCTAATAATAAGCCGATATTTGGTACATGAGTCCAATAATGAGCCAATAATTGGTACGTGAGTCTAATAATGAACCGATATTTGGTACGTGAGTCTAATAATGAACCGATATTTGGTACGTGAGTCCAATAATGAGCCGATATTTGGTACGTAAGTCCAATAATAGGCCTACATTTGGTATGTGAGTCAAATAATGAACCGATAATTGGTACGCGAGTCCAATAATGAACAGATATTTGGTACGTGAATCTAATAATAAACCGATATTTGGTACATGAGTCCAATAATTAGCCAATAATTGGTACGTGAGTCTAATAATGAACCGATATTTGGTACGTGAGTCTAATAATGAACCGATATTTGGTACGTGAGTCCAATAATGAGCCGATATTTGGTACGTGAGTCCAATAATGAGCCAATATTTGGTATGTGAGTCCAATAATGAGTCAATATTTGGTACGTGAGTCCAATAATAAGGCAATAATTGGTACGTGAGTCCAATAATAAGGCTATATTTGGTACATGAGTCCAATAATGAGCCAATATTTGGTACGTGAGTCCAATAATGAGCCAATAATTGTTACGTGAGTCCAATAATAAGGCAATATTTGGTACGTGAGTCCAATAATGAGCCAATATTTGGTACGTGAGTCCAATAATAAGGCAATATTTGGCACATGAGTACAATAATGAACCGATATTTGGTACGTGAGTCAAATAATGAGAATAATTTGTACGAGAGTCCAATAATGAGTCAATATTTGGTACGTGAGTCCAATATTTAACCAATATCTGGGCCGTAGTCCAATAATGAAACGATATTTAGTACGTGAGTCCAATAATGAGCCGATAATTGGTACGTGAATCCAATAATAAACCGATATTTGGTATGTGAGTCCAATATTGAGCCGATATTTGATACATGAGTCCAATATTTTACCAATATTTGGTACGCAAGTCCTATGATAGGCCGATATTTGGTACGTAAGTTTTATAATGAGCCGATATTTGGTACGCGAGTCCAATAATTAACCGATATTTGGTACGTGAGTCCATTAATAAGTGAGTACGCGAATGAAACGAGTCGATATACGGTACGTGAGTGAAACAATGAGTCGATATACGGTACGTGAGTGAAACAATGAACCGATATTTGGTACGCGAGTCCAATAATGAGCCGATATTTTGTACGTGAGCCCATAATGAGCCAATAATTGGTACATGAGTCCAATAATGAGCCAATAATTGGTACTGGAGTCCAATAATGAGCCAATATTTGGTACGTGAGTCCAATAATAAGGCAATATTTGGTACATGAGTACAATAATGAACCGATATTTGGTACGTGAGTCAAATAATGAGAATAATTGGTACGGGAGTCCAATAATGAGTAAATATTTGGTACGCGAGTCAAATAATGAGCCGATATTTGGTACGTGAGTCTAATAATGAGGCGATATTTGGTACGTGAGTCCAATAATGAACCGATATTTGGTACGCGAGTCCAATAATGAGCCGATATTTGGTACGTGAGTCCAATAATGAGCCGATATTTGGTACGTGAGTCCAATAATGAGCCGATATTTGATACATTAGTCCAATATTTTACCAATATTTGGTACGCAAGTCCTATAATAGGCCGGCATTTGGTAATAAGTTCTATAATGAACCGATATTTGGTACGCGAGTCCAATAATGAGCAGATATTTGGTTCGCGAGTCCTATAATAGGCCGATATTTGGTACGTAAGTTCTATAATAGGCCGATATTTGGTTCGTATGTACTATAATAGGCCGATATTTAGTAAGCGAGTCTAAAAATGAAGCGGTATTTGGTACGTGAGTCCAATAATGAACCGATAATTGGTATGTGAGTCCAATAATGAGCCAATATTTGGTACGTGAGTCTAATAATAAGGCAATATTTGGTACGTGAGTCCAATAATGAACCTATATTTGGTACGTGAGTCCAATAATGAACATATATTTGGTACGTGAGTCCAATACTAAGGCAATAATTGGTACGTGAGCCCAATAATGAGTCAATATTTGGTACTTAATAATAAGGCAATACTTGGTACGTGAGTCCAATAATGAGCCAATATTTGGTACTTGAGTCCAATAATAAGGCAATATTTGGTACGTGAGTCCAATAATGAACCGATATTTGGTACGCGAGTCCAATAATGAACCTATATTTGGTACGTGAGTCCAATAATGAACATATATTTTGTACGTGAGTCCAATAATAAGGCAATAATTGGAACGTGAGCCCAATAATAAGTCAATATTTGGTACTTAATAATAAGGCAATACTTGGTACGCGAGTCCAATAATGAGCCAATATTTGGTACGTGAGTCCAATAATAAGGCAATATTTGGTACGTGAGTCCAATAATGAACCGATATTTGGTACGTGATTCAAATGAGAATAATTGGTACGTGAGTCCAATAATGAGTCATTATTTAGTACGTGAGTCCAATATTTAACCCATATCCGGTCCGTAGTCCAATAATGAACCGATATTTAGTACGCGAGTCCAATAATTGGACGGTATTGGTACGTGAGTCCAATAATGAACCGATATGTGGTACGTGAGTCCAATAATGAACCGATATTTGGTACGTGAGTCCAATAATAAACCGATATTTGGTACGCGAGTCCAATAATGAGCCGATATTTGGTACGTAAGTTCTATAATAGGCCGATATTTGGTACGTAGGTCTAATAACGAACCTATATTTGGTGTAGGTCCGTGAGTCCAATAATGAGTCAATACTTGGTACGCGAGTCAAATTATGAACCGATATTTGGTACGTGAGTACAATAATGATCGGATATGGTACGCGAGTCAAA